GAACGAATCTTATACAAAATCCTCGGACTCCCCTCCGCAACGGGGTCAGAGGGGATAGGAAGAGGGAGAAGGGGGGAGGAAAGCGAGCAAGGAGATCACAAGCATCACGTCTTACGGTGCCTTCCAGCCTGGGGGCGGCAGCGGCGGGAGCACACCATGGCCCGCGCAGGGCGGCTGCACGCCGTTGTTCCACGGGGCGGTACATGGGAGGATCTTGTTGAGCACCGCCTCCTTCGCAGGGCCCCCTCCCGCGATGTGGACGGCGCCGCCCTTCTTCCAAAAAATGTGGATGGCTCCACGTTTCGCGGACTTCGGGCCCAGCTGCAGCAACAGGCCGTACGGAGACTTCCCCTCGACGGCCGCATTTCTGGGTAGGTGGTCCCAAGTAGCCCCTGGGCCCATGACTGGGCTCGCCCCGACCGTGAAGGCCCAGTAGAGGACGTTGCGGTCCGTCTGGAGCTGTCCGCCGGGGAGAGGTGGACCAGCCACTGGTCGTACCTTCTCTTTGAATCGAGGCTGGTGGGGCTCGAGGCTGGCGCACGCAGGTGGAACTCCGGGAAGAGCTCGTTGGCGCCGGGCCGCGGGGCGACCTCGGACGGCGGGACCAGCGGGGCTCTCACGTGCGGGGCTCCCAGTACAGGGGTCTGGCGCGTGCCTGCTGAGTCCTGGGTCCAGGCCGGAGCTGGGCCGCCTGGGGTGGCGCCCGAGGCGCTGACGGCAGTCTGCTGTGCGCGCCACTCCTCCCAGCACTGGAGGCAGTAGGTCTTCTTTGAGTGCTCCTCCTCTCCGCGCACAAGGGGGCCCAGTCTGGACGCGCACCCTGCGCAGCACGGCTGCGACTCCACCGGCGAGGGAGCCTGTGGCTGCTGCGGGGGCTGGTGCTGCTTCTGCTGCTGCTGCGGCGACTGCTGCTGCAGTTGCTGCTGCTGCTGCACCAACGAGGGGAGCGCGGCCCCAGTGCCAGGGGGGGACGGTGCTGTTCTGCGTTCCACGGCGCCTCGACCGTGTCCTCGCGTGCTGCCAGCGCCGCCGCTGGAGGGCCTGCCGCCTGGGCACACAAGTGCCACTGGTGCCTCTGCTGCCAGCACCCGCCGCAGTAGAACTTCTCGGCGTGGTCGCCCTGGCTGGGGGCAAGGGCAACCCCCGCGGCCCGGCTTCGTGGCAGGGTTGATTCCCAGTGGATGCAACGTCCCCCGCTGGTGTCGCGCCCATTGCGGGGCAAGGCTGTTCTGGCGCCTTCGCAGGACCTCCCCTCGCAGCTGCCGCCCCAAGGGCTGTATAGACTGCGACCTGACCCGGAGGCGGTCCCCCCGAGGCCTCGTCAGCGATCCCCTGCTGTTGCTGGTCCGGAGTCATGCGCTTCAATTGTTCGTTGACCGCGTGGTTGTACAGCGTCTTGGCGCAGGGCCCTCCCGGGTTCTGCTTCTGGTCTGCGGTGGCAGCCGCACGTAGGGTCAGGCGCAGGGCGCTGCGGTGCTGCATCCAGAAGTCGAGAACTCCTTGGGAAGGAAAGTGCGCTGGCTCCCCCACTGGATGCATGGCGCTGATGCAGGTGCGGTCTGGAACGATGAGAGGGTCAGGAGTGCAGCGCTGCTTGAGCCTGGTGGCTATGGAAGCGGGGGGGTGGGCGGGGGGACGGAATGCCCAAGCTTTCCCCAGCGGCCGTCTTGGCAACCCCGCCCGACAGGAGTCCCCAGAGCAAGAGGACGCCAGAGGCATCCTGGGGGCGGGTGTGGAAGCAGACTGCGGGGACGGCTGGATGTTCCAACAGGGGGGGGGGGGGGCGACGAAGCAGGAAGAGCAAACCTGGCCCAGCCCAACTCGGCCCGGCCCGCCCTCTGGCCCTGTGAGGACCAGGAGGGAGGGAGGGAGAGAGGGAGGGGGGAGGAAGGAAGGAGGGGGGGGCGGCCCCTGCCAGCCCGACCCAGCCTGGCCCTGCCCGTCCGAGCCCTGGAGGGGACGAGGCGAGGGAGAGGGGGAGGGAGGGAGGCGAGGGAGGGCGGCGAGGGAGGGCGACGAGGAGGAGGGAGGCGAGGAGGGAGGACGAGGAGGCAGTGAGGAGGAGGAGGAGGAGGAGGATGGCAGTGAGGAGGAGGAGGAGGAGGAGGAGGAGGAGGAGGAGGAGGAGGAGGAGGAGGAGGAGGAGGAGGAGTGACGGACGCAGAGGGAAGCGGTGGATTGGTGGGTGAGTGCTGGGGTTGCAGTCGACATGCTCAGTCTTTGCCCCGTCCAGCTAGTCGGGGTCACTCGGCCATCCATCCTACATCCAGCGGCGCGCACAAGTAGGAAGGGGCAAGGGGGGCTGGCCTCCCGGGAAGGCAGGGGGCTTCCCAAAAGGCACAGGCCTCTTCAAATCATCATGCGTCCGGGCCTTCTACCAGCGGCAAAATCCGAACCCTACCTTCGCCGATCAACGATTCAAGCAACTCGATGGGCGGCGGGGGTAAGGTTCGGAAGTCGTGGAACACGTAGCGACATCTGAACCCTACCCCCGCTTCCCATCGATTCAGGAGAATCGACGGTTGGTGGAGGTAGGGTTCAGATGTCGCCACCTATTCTAAGAAACGGGGTGCCCTATTGGCAGGCCGCCCCCCTCTCGTCCTGCCCCCGTTGCGCGCGCCTCCGCCCGATGCCGAGCTCGCCCGCAGGGTTGCCGAGATCACCGCGCCCTCGCGCTCCGCGCACGGCTGGAGAGCTGTCTCCCCTCAGGGGGCGTCACGAGGCCGCAACGCAGCCCAGGATAGGTCCGGGGAGAAGCAGTGCCGATTCCTTCTGGTCTCCCCAGAGGCTGCCTTTTTTGGGGGGTCCTGCGACAAACCTGGTAATCGGGCCTCCTCGGCCCCCCCTCTGAAATTCGTAACTTGTCGGTTGCGCAGGTCCGAAGGGGGTACGCAGTACTCGCGCGCGCGGACCTACGTGGGGCTGCCCACCGCGGAAAGGTCAGGTTATCGGCTAACACCCCCCTCTCTCCCCCCCCCCCGGACATCCTGGGCCATGGCCGACAAATGCAAACGATCTCCGGGCCACCCATTGCATCCTCCCTCTGCCCCCAAATTCCCCGCATCTCTCGGATCCCGCGCGCGCGCCGAGCCCGCGCCCCGTGCCGCCGCGGGCCGCCCCGCGCGGGGCACCGCTGGAGCCTCGCCAGCATGGCTGGGAGCCGTGCGCCCGTGCGGGTGGGCCCCGCCTCGAGGGGGGCCGGGCGGCGCTGCGGCCCTGGGCGTCGCGGGGCAGGGCTCATTCCAATTCCTCCGACCCTGTTGGGTTCGACTTTGATCGATTCCAATCCCGATTCGATTCGACTTGTGGTTCCGATTCGGATCCTGGTTTGTCCGTGGAGGCCGAGCCAGCCTGCCGAGCACCGCCGATTCGGCTTCTCCCGACTTGGCTGCCGATTGCCGCCGAGCCGCCGACTCGTCGATCCGATCCTGGGCTCTCCTGCGGGAGAGTCACGGCGGCCGGTTCCCTGCCCTCATGGGCACCTGGAGGCTCGAGGCCCGTCGCGGGCCCCGGGGCCATCGGCAGACACTGCCTGGGGCGAGGAACTTGGTGCCGGGGGGGGGGGTCGAGAGCTGGGGGCCCACGCGGGAGGCAGCTGCGACGCAAGAGGTCTGGGAGCAGAAGGGGGCCAGGGTCAGGAGAGGCACCCTTTGCAAGAAGGCCCTGGTCTCTGAAAGGACGTTCGCCTCGGTGGCATCGTTTTGTGGGGCCGGTCCCTTCTAGGAAGGCTGCCCCGTATCGTTGCGCGCCGCTGGGGGGGGGTCAGGAGCTGGCCTCCTCCAACTCGCGCTTTCCTCCTGAAGATCTCTGCTAGACTGGTTGGGGCTGGCCCAAAGATGACGCGTTCCGGCCCTGAAACGACCGTCAAGTGGTGTGAAGTGATGCCAGAACAACGGGGGCATGCAGAAGTAAGAGGGTGGACGCACCGCGTTCCCTTCGATTATCCGTAAGGGCTTCGCCCCCTGCCGCCGGCCCCCTCTCTCGGAGAATGGGCCATGGAAGAGCTAAGTCATGAGGCCTTGGCGCTGTCGTGAAGCAGTGTCGAAACTTCATGCGAAGCCGATTCGCAATCAGCAAAACCAACTGATCACAAGAGGGGTTACCACACCTGGCGATTGGTAAGACGTGTATGGTTTACGGGCTTGGTTACCACACCTTGCGATTAAAGGGCCGAGGGAGTTCTCGCAGTTTGGGTTACCACGCCTTGCGATGGATGTGCGTGAAGGGTGGCACCGAATTTCAGAAATGTGGCAAATCCCTTGTGTTTTTGGACCCTGACCCCGCGGATCTGCGTGAGGGGTGGCACCGAATTTCAGAAATGTGGCAAATCCCATGTGTTTTTGGACCCTGACCCCGCGGATCTGCGTGAGGGGTGGCACCGAATTTCAGAAATGTGGCAAATCCCTTGTGTTTTTGGACCCTGACCCCGCGGATCTGCGTGAGGGGTGGCACCGAATTTCAGAAATGTGGCAAATCCCATGTGTTTTTGGACCCTGACCCCGCGGATCTGCGTGAGGGGTGGCACCGAATTTCAGAAATGTGGCAAATCCCTTGTGTTTTTGGACCCTGACCCCGCGGATCTGCGTGAGGGTGGCGACCGAATTTCAGAAATGTGGCAAATCCCTTGTGTTTTTGGACCCTGACCCCGCGGATCTGCGTGAGGGGTGGCACCGAATTTCAGAAATGTGGCAAATCCCCTGTGTTTTTGGAACGACATTTGGCGCTGCTGGCCCCAGAGACGTTGGCGGGGAGGTCGCCAAGCGCAACATGCTGGCGCAACAATAGGCGCTGGCGCAGGCTGTCCGCGGCGGGGCGATCTCCCTGCGCCGCCTGCTGCCGCGAAGTGGCCGACCCACCTTCGCCGCTTCAGCTGTGCGCGGGCCTTTGGGCCCCGTTAGGGGCGCTGGCCCAGATCGAAGAGGCCAAGCGGACTCGTTTCCATGGGCGTTTGGTCGAGTAGTTCTGCAGCCTCCAGCTCCCGCTAGTGGCAGAGCTCGCGGATGTCGGGACGGCCCGAAGCACCTGCGGTACTTGGCTGCAGGCAGGCGTGCGGCGACCTTCCAGGGCGCGCTAGCCGAGTGGCCACGTGTGCGGCAGCGGCTGGGGACGGCTACGAGCGAGTCCTGGCTGTGGGAAGCCGCCGACTTAGTGGGTTACCTGGAGACGCACGCGGGCGGGGGAACCTTGCAGGAAGGCGGTGCTCGCGTTGGCGGTCGACGCCCTCCGCAGGGTCCCCACGGAGTTCCGCTTGGGCAACCGCCCGGCGGTCGTGGGCGCGGAGAAGCAGCTGACAGCTTCGCCGGGCGGCGGCCAGCGTTCGCGGTCGTGGCGACGGAACCCCATATCGTGAGCATGATGGCGGTGGCGTGGGGGCGCTTCCTCGCGGACGAGGCGAACCCAGACTACGCGAGGTACTAGGTACTACGTGGGCGTCCGCTGTATCAAGGACTTGGCGTCGCTGCGCTTCGACGACGTCAGGTGGGTCGACGAAATCCAGTTGAGCACGCGGGTGGCGCCTCAGGCTGGCGCGGACCAAGACTTCGGGGCCGGGGCATATTATCATCAGGCTTTCTACGCACACGTGAGCATAGTCGTTTTCCACTGGATGAAGATTTGGCTGGGGCTATGGATTGTCCTGAGGTCCAGCTGCTCGGACTTGAAGCACTTCATCCCGAGGCTGGTGGACCAACGTGACTGTTGCGTCTTGACAATCTTCGATCGTGGCGGAACGCCGTTCCTAGGACCTTAACACCGCGAACCAACGTGACCACTGCGTCTTGACAATCTGGGCTTGTGCCAGAAACCACTCCTGGAACTTCAACCGTACGATACAGGCGAACATTTGTAAAAGTTTAGGGCGAATGTGCGATGCGCCAAGTTGTTAAAACGCATGTGCGCGGCGTTAGGGCGAGAGCTACATTTTGGAGCAGAGCCGCCTCCCACCCGCGAAACTGTTGCAAACATTCGCAGCTCGAGTGCGCGGCGCTGAAGCGAGGACCAACTTTCGAATACGGCCCGCCCGCCATGTGTGAAGCGATTGCAAAATCTCACGTGCAACGAATGTGCGGGACACGAAGGCGACAGCTACATGTTGAAAGGGACCTGCTCTCCATGTGTGACACGGTTGCAAACTTCAAGACGAATGGGCGCGGCGCTCGGGCGATAGCCACATTTTGAAACCGACGCGCCCTCCATCCGTGAAGCTGTTATGCACTTGAATATTCAGGATCATACGTGGCGTGGATGTCTGCAGCGCAACGACTGGCCCGCCCTACCGAAACGTGTGGGGGCGCGACAGGGAGGAGTTGTTTTGTTGTACGGGGTGGGGGAGAAGGTAGAGGAGGCGGACGGAGGAGGAAGAACAGGAGGAGGAAGCAGGAGGAGCAGGAGGAGCAGGAAAGAGAAAGCAGGAAACATGAAACATGAGGACGAGGAGAAGGAGGCGGACTCCTCCTCCTCCTCCTCCTCCTCCTCCTCGTCCTTGTCCTCCTCTTCCTCTTCGTCCCCATGCCCTGGACCTCCCAGCGCCCCCCGCAGCATTGCCCAGCCCCGTTCGACAGCAACCGCTCGGGTGCGCCTCTGCCGCACCGCGCGGCCCGCGCGGCAGCGCGCCCAGCCAGGCGGTAACTGGCCTGCGAGAAGTCGCGCACCTCTACGGGGGCTTCTTGCTCGACCTCGGCAGCCTCGCGGGGCCCCTTCGCTCGGCAGCCTCGCGGGAGGCGTCCCGTCGGAGGAGGAAAAGGTACCCATACAGTTGCCTTTCGCCCGTTTTTCCCTTTTTGTCGCACTCCTGGGAGGTCCTCGTCGCCACCGTTGGGTTCGCTTCGAAATTCTGGTCAGAACGCACCCTAGAAGAGGTCCAGGGAGTAGCAGTATTGGTACCTTTTGATTTCGCCATCTCGTGAGTCAGTATTGTTTAACCTATCCCCCATCCCCACCAGGCCATGGTATCTCAGCCCCATCATCTCGGCACCCCAGTTGGGGACACGCATCGAAACCCGAAGGGAACAGCCCATATCCCCATTCGTGGGGGCAAATCGGACTGGGGGGCCGATGCCAGGCCAGCGGGGACAGGGATCTATTAAATGATGCTCATTCGCCCGCCCCCTGCCGCGCTGCTGCCGCGCACGCCCTTCCTGCCTCCCTCGTGTGGTGGGCGTGCCTCCACGGCTCGCGGGTGGGGAAGCAGGGCCTCGCCGCATCGGCGATGCGGCGCGATCCGGAGCCCCATATTCTTAATGGCGGCATCGCGTCGATGCATCGGCGATGAGCCGCAATGCTCCGGCCATATGCGGGAGGCCTCCATGCCTGAGTCCACATCCGCACCGCACCCCTGTTGGACCACACACACACACAGACACAAACACACAGACACACACTCACACTCACACTCACAGACACACACACAGACACACACATACAGACACAGACACACACACACAGACACACACACACACAACACGCAAACACAAACACACAACACCCACACAGCACACAACACACAACACCCACACACAACACACAACACCCACACACACAACACACACGCGACACACACACACACACACACGCACAACACACACGACACCAACACAACACACACACACACACACACGCGAACCCACACCCACACCCACACGCACACGCACACGCACAATCACACGCACACGTACACGCACACGGACACGCACACACACAGACACACACACACACCACACACACACACACGTACACGCACACGAACACGCACACGCACACGCACACGTACACGCACACGCACACGCACACGCACACGCACGCACACGCACACGCACACGCACACGCACACGCACACGCACACGCACACGCACACGCACACGCACACGCACACACGCACACGCACACGCACACGCACACGCACACGCACACGCACACGCACGCGCACGCGCACACGTACAATCACACGCAACACACACACACACGCATACGAACACGCACACACAGACACACACACACACACACACACGCGCACGCACACACACCACCCACACACACGCGCACACACTCACGCACGCGCACCCGCAGACGCACGCGCACGCGCACGCGCACGCGCACGCGCACGCGCACGCGCACGCGCACACGCACGCGCACACGCAAACGCACACGCACGCGCACGCGCACCCGCAGACGCACGCGCACGCGCACGCGCACGCGCACGCGCACGCGCACGCCCACGCGCACGCGCACGCGCTCACGCACACGCACGCGCACGCGCACACGCACACACACACATACACACATATAGACTGACTGACAGACAGACAGACAGCGGACGGAAAGACAGACAGACAGACAGCGGACAGACAGACAGACAGACAGACAGACAGACAGACAGACAGGCAGACAGACAGACAGAGACAGACAGACAGAGACAGACAAACACACACACACACACACACTCGGGGATATCTCACATCCCCGCAGGGGTGCACGTTGCCGCAGACATCCTTCAAATTTTGTCCCCGCGGGTTTGAAGATCGGTCTCGAAGGGTCGGGGTTCTCATGCAGTTGCGCCAGGCGGGGAGGCAGGGAGGGAAGGGGAAGGCAGGAAAACAAGGGGGGCAGAGGGGTGGAGCTGGGCGGGGGAAGGAGGGGGAGGGGCAGAGAGAGGAGTTGGAGAGGGGAGCGGGGAGAGGGGGTGGGTGTGAAGGAGAGGAAGCTGGGTGAGCAGGGATACAATAATGTAGAGGCACCGAAGGAGAAGGCCTGCTTGCCGACCAGAGGAGTGACAGAGGAAGGGCGCAGTGAGATCGCAACACGTAGAGCCGCGTGTCAGCCTGGCCCCTGCCTGGGCTGCGAGCGCCCAGCAGGCCGTCCTCGCATTAGCGGGAGGCGCCGCATGTGTAACAGGCTTGGTGGGTTTGCCTCGCCCCTGGCGCGGTCACAGGGACCCCGTCTGGACAGGGGCGGGCGGCGGTGATCAGGCCGCTATGAGGCCCGTTTGCACACCCGTGGGGAAAAAGGGGGCGCCGGCATTTAGCGCGCTTTGGCATGCGCACCTCGGCGACCACTATAATTGAAAGGCGCCGCCTTGGTGCGTCCCCCGCAGCAGCCCAGGGAGAGCCAACGACGGTTCATGTGCCAACTGTGCTCGTGGTCCGTGGGAATGGATTGGTGTGCCGCCCGTTCAGCGTCGAAGAAAGGTTTGGAGGTTGGCAGGGGGGGCTGCCGTTCTAGCGGCGACTGCAGGCCGGAAGGCCTGCTGCAGGCCTCTCTTGCGCTCGGTGGAACTTGTCGATCAGCGGTGCTGATTGTTCTTGATCGTTGATGCTTTGCTTTCCCAAGTGGCTTTCCATCTTCTGGATTCTGAACAGGTCGGGTTTGCTTGGAGCACCCGGTTAATTTTCTGCCAGAAGTCGGCTTGCGGACCCACACGTTGTGAGGGCTTCTGTTGGGCAAGTCTTCGAACCCGTCCACGACCGCCTGGCTGTCGACGAAGACGTGTACTGGCCTGTCGGCCGTGGCGACCATATGAAGCATGGTGAGTTTTTCTTTTGCCGTGGCGCGGGCTTCTGGACAGTGTGGACGGATTTGTTCCCCAACCATCCTGTGGTGTTGGGTCCTCGTTTTGAAAAGACAGCGCCCCGCGTTCGTCACCTTCCGCTGCCTCCTCCCCCTCCTCCCTCCTCCCATCCATGCTTCTGCCCTCCTCATGTCTACACTTCAGCGCAACCCGTGCAACGCCGTAGGGAGTTCCACCGAAGGCCCCAGCGGCAGGGTCCACATGGCGCCGCCGCCCCATTCTGGTGCACCCCTCACACAGTTCGTGACCCAATAGGGAGCTCCACCGAAGGCCCCACTGGCAAGGTTCACATGGCGGCGTCGCCCCATTTTGGCGCACCCCTCTCAGGGTTCGTGGCCCCATCGGGAGTTCCACCGAAGGCTTCAGCGGCAGGGTCTTCATGGCGGCGCCGCCCCATTTTGGCGCACCTCTCGCAGGGTTCGTGGCCCCAGAGGGAGCTCCACCGAAGGCTTCAGCGGCAGGGTCTTCATGGCGGCGTCGCCCCATTTTGGCGCCCCCCCTCAGGGTTCGTGGCCCTATAGGGAGCTCCACCGAAGGCCCCAGCGGCAAGGTCTTCATGGCGACGCCGCCTCATTTGGGCGTACACTTCACACGGGTCGTGCCCCAATAGGGAGCTCCACCGAAGGCCCCATTGGCAAGGTCCACATGGCGGCGCCACCCCATTTTGGCGCACCCATCACACAGTTCGTGACCCAATAGGGAGCTCCACCGAAGGCCCCACTGGCAAGGTCCACATGGCGGCGTCGCCCCATTTTGGCGCACCCCTCGCAGGGTTCGTGGCCCTATAGGGGCGAGGTCGACACCATCCGCTCGACCCTGCCGTAGCACGCCGCCTTCAGATCGGGCTGGAGTCCCAGCCCATATACCAACAAGAGCTGCGGGTGTACTATTCTTCTGAGGCGGCGGACGTTTCGAACGCAGCACTTGGTGGACACCCCTCCTGTGCCGCAGAGGTTGCGTGGGCGTGTATCCTTGACGAGGCTCAGGAGTGGCAGGTTCGACATCCTGGTGCCCATGGCCAACTTTCCCCTTCGGCCGACGAGTCGGAGGCAGGCGGCTGAGACTACGACGGTGAACAAGCAGCACCAGGCGTACAGGGCCACGGTCGACGCGATAGTAGACTGGGTAGAGAAAGTATTGACATGGGCGCGTGGGCGCTCTGCTCTTTTTCCCAACCATCCTGTGGTGTTGGGTCCTCGTTTTGAAGAGACGGTGCCCCGCGTTCTCCTTTCTTCCTTCCTTCCTTCCTTCCTCCCGCTGCCTCCTCCCCCCTCCCATCATCATCATCATCATCATCATCATCATCATCATCATCATCATCATCATCATCATCATCATCATCATCAACAACACCCAATTCGGCACACCCCTCACACGTTTCGTGGCTCTGTAGGGAGCTCCACCGAAGGCCCCAGTGCCCGCGGCCGCATGCGTCACCCACACCCATTTCGGCACACCCCTCACACGCTTCGTGGCTCCATAGGGAGCTCCACCGAAGGCCCCAGTGCCGCGGCCGCATGCGTCACCCACACCCATTTCGGCACACCCCTCACACGCTTCGTGGCTCCATGGGGAGCTCCACCGAAGGCCCCAGTGCCGCCCGCATGCGTCACACACCCATTTCGGCACACCCCTCACACGTTTCGTGGCTCCATAGGGAGCTCCACCGAAGGCCCCAGTGCCCGCGCCGCATGCGTCCCCCACACCCATTTCGGCACACCCCTCACACGTTTCGTGGCTCCATAGGGAGCTCCACCGAAGGCCCCAGTGCCCGCGGCCGCATGCGTCCCCCACACCCATTTCGGCACACCCCTCACACGTTTCGTGGCTCCATAGGGAGCTCCACCGAAGGCCCCAGTGCCCGCGGCCGCATGCGTCCCCCACACCCATTTCGGCACACCCCTCACACGTTTCGTGGCTCCATAGGGAGCTCCACCGAAGGCCCCAGTGCCCGCGCCGCATGCGTCACCCACACCCATTTCGGCACACCCCTCACACGTCGTGGCTCATAGGGAGGCTCCACCGAAGGCCCCAGTGCCCGCCGCATGCGTCACCCACACCCATTTCGGCAGCGTCTCCACCCACCGAAGGCCCCAGTGCCCGCGGCCGCATGCGTCCCCACACCCATT